GAGAGTTGGGGTTGTTCAGCCTGAAGAAGAGAAGGCTCCAGGGGGACCTTACTGCACCTTGCAGTACTTCAAGGGGGCTTATAAGAAAGATGGGGACAGACTTCTTAGCAGGGCCTGTTGCAATAGGGCAAGGGGTAATGGTTTTAAACTAAAAGAGGGTAGATTTTTACTAGATAGAAGGAAGAAATTTTTGACAATGAGGATGGTGAAACACTGGCACGGGTTGCCCAGAGAGGTGGTAGATGCCCCATCCCTGGAAACATTCAAGGTCAGGTTGGATGGGGCTCTGAACAACCTGCTCTAGTTGAAGATGTCCCTGCTGCTTGCAGGGAGGTTGCACTAGATGACCTTTAAAGGTCCCTTCCACGATTCTAAACGCATGCAAGATAGCTAAGGCCATGACCATCTTTGGTGGCGTTCTTAAAGACTTGAAATTAAGTCAAATCTGTTAAAGGACTGACAAGTATTTCCAGAGAACTCTAACGAGACTGGGAAAGATGTAAACGTTTTGGTAACTGAAAAGAGAAGGGATAGAGGGATCATATCAACTTCAGTTGGAATAAAGATCCAAAATTGCACAAAGAAATTCTGACAAAGAATGTTCTTAAGAGTCTTGCACAGAGAATATGCTATGATCTTACATCTTTAACGTCCACAAGCTATGGGTCCTGGGTGTGGTGTTTCAAGCCAGAATGAACCATTTTGATTATAATTTTGCCTCTCTGACAGAAGAATTTAAATCAGTAATTCCGAGAATATATGAATACATATCCTTTATGTACTTCACTCAGCAGAACAGGCGAAACATCACTCAATGGCTCTGCAAATAGAGGTATTTTGCCCACCATTTTTTCTGACAACAACACAGGAAAAGACCGTTTACTTAGTCTTGATTTAGCCCCAGCTACTGTCATGGTTTAACCGCAGCCAGCAACTAAGCCCCACGCTGCCACTCGCTCACTCCCTCATGGTGGGACGGGGGAGAGAATCGGAAGGGTAAAAGTAAGAAAACTCGTGGTTTAACACAAAGACAGTTTAAAAAGTAAAGCAAAAGCCATGCACGCAAGCAGAGCAAAACAAGGAATTCATTCACTACTCCTCATTGGCAGGCAGGTGTTCAGCCATCTCCAGGGAAGCAGGGCTCCATCATGTGCAGAGTTTTCTTGGGAAGACAAGATGCCATAAGTCCAAATGTCCCCTCTCTTCTTCCTTTTTCTTCACCCCAGCTTTATATACTGAGCATGATGTCATATGGTAGGGAATATCTCTTTGGCCAGCCTGCGTCAGCTGTCCTGGCTGCCTCCCAGCTTCCTGTGCACCCCTAACCTTCTTGCTGTCAGGCCAGCATGAGAAGCTGGACAGTTCTTGACTACTTAGGAATAAGTGAAAACGTCATCACATTATTAATATTGTTTCATCCCAAATCCAAAACACAGCTTCACACTAGCCTCTATGAAGAAAATCAACTCTATCCCAGCTGAAACCAGGACAGCTACCGAAGAGATGACCTGAAAAACCTTCCAACCCAAAGATTCTATGATTCTATGATCTTCAAACATTATATAAAGCTATTAACCTGGACCACGTTCAGTGATGTTTTCTGAAAATATTATCATCAAGAACATAACCGTCTTTGCTTTCACATTTTCATTATTTTAACTTTCTTGTATCTTATGTGGTAAAACACCACCATCGTTTTTAGTCCCTAGATTTAGTGACCAAAATAAATGTTTTATATTTGGTTTAGTCTTTGTAATTGTACATTTCTGATATAGGATATATTCATTATAGCTTTACTGTCACATCCTGATAAGGAGAATACATGATTATTAGGATTACTACATAAGATATTGTAAATTTATTATTTATGCAGTCCTTGTGCAAACTAATAAATCCCATGGTTTCCTCTGTGTTACTTGTTTCCTCTGCAAGCTTACTATTTGCTATCAACCTAGAGGCTTTGTGTGTTTTGCTAGCTTTCCTATGCTAAATTATCACACTTTTAGTCTTATTCCTTCTCCTTGAACTCAGCTCAATTACTTTGTGGTAAAGGCTTTTTGTATCTTTCTGTATCTCCTTCTACTTTCTCATTCTCTCTTCCTTTTTTATTATTCCCCACCTGGTTTTTTCTTTCACGATATCAATATATGGGTATTTTATCATACCTGTTATCCAGAAAGACAAGCAGAGCCAAACCTGATGTCTACATGACATGTCTACATCACATGATGAAATGTGGCAGAGGTTTTCAGTGCACAACAGACATTTTAGAACCATGAATTTTGTTAACTAGAGGTTAATGTTTTAATAAAGTATATGGGATTTCATCCATTTTTGCCTTGAACTTCATTGAACATCAGTGTGACTCAAACTATGCACAAGTTTTCTCACTCATGATTAACCCATGGAGGACAGTTCATAGCCCTGCTAGTTCAGGCATCCAGCTTTAATTAAATAAAAAATAATAATTACAAAAATCTTTAAATTATTCAGTTAAAATATGTGGAATTTTTGTTAGAACAGAAAATAATGAAATACCTGTCTTCCACTGCAATGCATAGACTCCTCAACTTAAAGAGTTTCCTCTGCAATTTAATAGTAGACTCAAACTTTCCAGTTATACTAACTTCCCCATTGACTACAAGTACGCAGGTTAGAGACTAATAACAAATGAAATCCTCCTTCACTCTAAAGAGTCCATGGTTATTAATAGCACAAATCTTATTACTGTTATAGTAATCTTTCTGCATTTCCATATAGCTTTTGTGCCTATATTAAAGGGGATATTCTAATTTGCAAGGCACAAGATGTAAGTAGTATTTAACCCACTCAGAATTCCTAACAACTTAATTTCTACAGTTTTTATGTCTATAAATTTAACATAGTGCACCTGGAGGACAAACAATAATAATAAATACATAAGCAATTATTTTTTTAAAAAAAACAACCTTTAACTAAGCTAAGGTTCCTCATTCTAGAAAACAGTCAACTAATGGAGAATGTGACTGAAGTCCAGAATGTTGTAACGAACCTGGTATGGCAGGGGTCAGTTATTAATTTTCTCTTTCAATACTAGAATTAAGGGACACTGAATGAAAGAAATGAATGAAACAAATTGAGTAAAAACAAATGAAGCAACAGAAGCTGGGTTCAAAACAAATAGAAGGAGGTAAACCTTCATATACAGTTAATGATAGGTCAAATTTGTTTTAAAAGCATATTGTAGATTTAAAAATTAACGTGAGTTCAAAGGAAGATTGAACTAGTCCATAAGGTCCCTGAGAATTAAAAAATGTATGGAAAAGACATCCACCTCAGAACACCCTTGATATGAAAGTTGGATATTGGGGGAATATTAAGGATAATTACTATATATTTGAAAACAGCCTTATAGCTTGCTACCTAGACGTTGACTTATGACGACAGTCGGAGACATATTTTGTCAGGCTAGATGAACTTCCTTATTCACTTCTTTTAATAAGCAGGTCTATTGTCTTTTAAGTCATCAGCCATGTAAAATAAGAGTTTTGGATCACCAGTTGAGATACTGCAGTGTATAATGCCTTTTTTTTGGACCTGAATAGATTCATTTCATGACTGACACCTATAATCAGAAGCAGGAGTCTGCTGTTTACATGTACAATCTATTAATATTTTAGATGTCTCAGAAGACATATATTATCTGCAAAAGGTTGACAGACTGACAAAGGACATTCATGCATTCTTCAGCAGCCATTGAAGATGAAATAACCAAGAGTCTTTAAAAGGAATCTAGCTGCCTGTGTTTAGGCAACTGCAAATGCAGTTTGCATATGTTTGCATATATGTGTCTGTGAAGGAGGTAACTCCTCATAAACTCTGGGAACTAAATTCTCCTGCTTTCTGCCCTCCAGCTGTTTCTCTAAAAATGATTGGGTCTCCCAGATAGATGTTATCTGAGATCTAGAAGTCTACCAGAGTGTACAGACATGCTGCCATACACAACTAAAACTTGCTCAAATTTGATACAGTGGCCAGAATATAGGGATCAGCATCTCGAGGTAATACTCACTTGTCTAAACATAAACATCAACAGTTTGATTGGCTTCTGATGACTTAGGGTATCTGAGACATCTGCATGAGTCTGGCAGGTATGACACAAAATCTGCATAATAGTTGTACTCTTCCGGACTGACATCAGTGAGATCACAGAATCACAGAGTCGTTCAGGTGGGAGTAGACCTCAGGAGGTCTCTAGTCCAACCAGGTTGCTTAGTCCAATGGCATCTTGAAAACTTAGAGACTGATTTACAGCATCTCAAAAGCCAGTAGATATGTACATATAAGCAAGTGTATGCAATACTTAACATTTACAACTTGTAGCCTTCTTCCTTGAGAGTGAGCATCTGTTTTGGTAAGTACTGATTACAGCTTTTATGCAAATTGCAAAGATAGTTACATTTTCTGGATCCTTAATGTTGCCTTAAAAATCCTTAACAAGCAATAGATTCAAAACTTGCATAAATAAGTTCTGTTGGTTTTGTTTGGGTTTTTTTTGTTCCTGTTGTTGGGATTTTTTTGTTTTGTTTCAGATTTAGAAATAAGAGATGTTCCTGGAAAGTATAACATGAAATACTGTAGAATCTTGTTATGTTATGTGACTGTGCCTTCAAGATTCTTGCAAAGAGGTGTCTTCTGGATCCTTTCACTGTTACGTTGGAAACTTATTAAACTTATTAAAGTTAAGTCATCCTGTAGCCTACGAGAGAATACTTAATTTTCTTGAATGTCTTCAGTAGTGCAATCATAGTCTTTAGGGATGGTGAAACAGTGAATCTAATTTTAAAAATCAACTAATTATTTACTTTCCTGTCCCTCCTCCATCAAAAATAGTCCTACAAATCCCTGTATTCTACAATGAAGTGATATAGTTATGACATCCGTTTCGTGATCTCTCATTGCATGGTATTGTTTTTCTAGGAATTTCTAGGATTTTTGATTCATGATCATGTCATTCACAGATATTGGCTGACCTAGAAAACCATGTGCTTTTTAAGGATGACCTAGAATGCCAGAAGCTTATTCTGGAAGCCATGAAATACCATCTTTTACCAGAGAGAAGAACTCTCATGCAAAGTCCGAGAACTAAGCCTAGAAAATCTACAGTTGGGACACTTTATGCTGTTGGAGGAATGGATAACAACAAAGGTATGAAAGGATATTTATTACTTTATAAATAAAGTTTTATTTTGCATTTGCTTTATTAGAAAATAGTGAAAATTTCTATTCCAAGACTGCCATGAGGGTGTCTAAATCAATCAAGAAACGCTGCCAAGACTTTTGGTCAAATGAAAATCTACTGTATTTAAGGAAGAATACAACACTGTTAGAGGAAAGAAACTGATTTTTGAGTTCATCCTTTGTTCAAAATTATTTCCAGAAAGAATTTTAACAGAAAATCTAGAGTGAGATTAATTTACCTTGTTTTTAGCTTTCTAGAAATTATGTTTCATTTATAATTCAGTAAAATATTCACACACCTTTTCTATCAATGTAAAATGGCAGTTTAATATGCAGTGTATTCCATCCTTAAGTAGTTGTCTGAAATATTATGGTTGATTCATGTTCTTCCAATGCAAAAAAATTATCAATCATCTAGAGAAAAAAACTAGACAATGAGTATAAACTACTTTGTTGGCAGTTAAAGGAAGGTGAAATTATCCCCATCCTCCTGTGAAGATAAGAAGGAAAATTAAAAAAAAAAAATTTAGTTGTTATTTATTGGGAATAAGGATTATGATGATGTGCTTTTATTTCTGATAAATCTAATCCACTGATTTCTTGAATGGAGTGAAATAAACTATTTGAACTAAGAGCTAGCGGTGTTATAAGCCTATATACTCAGAAAGTTTTATATTATTATTTTTTCTTGAAATTCACTAACAATTCCACAGTATCTTACATTTTCATGTCAATATTTAGAGTGAAGAATATGTCTTCAGAAACATTAGTTCTAGTATAAAATAAACTGTACTTATAAAAAGGTATAATATAAAACTAGCCCTTCAGTATTTTACAACTCTTTTTCTAGGTGTAGCCATTGCAGTTGTTTTACTAAACAGCTGTGGCAATATCATCTGTAAAAGAACGTTGCATGTTTCTCCCATAAAGTTACACCAATGAGAAAGATGTATGACATCCGTGCTTGTGTAAAAAAAATGTTGAGAGAATAGAAAAATGTTGAGGAAAGAACCAATACATATATTTTCTTATTACAGCTGCAGATGATTTTTGTCCTTTTAACATTTATAGATGTTTGTGTAGCTAAATGTTAAGGATGGATTTGCATAGAACATTGCCTTTGGATCATAAAATACCTGAAATACAAATTTTCTCTTACTTAGAACAAGTGGTGAGAACACTTTAAGTATTCAGGTAGTGGAAATGACCATAAACTCAGTTTAGGTGCAGCTATATTTGTTCCAGGTTACTATACAGATCTGTTCCTGGTTCATATAGCAAATAAAATACAGAAATATTTATGAAGACAGCACAGAGTGTAGCACCACTTGCAGCATCAACACGCAGCCTATTTTCCAGACTCAAGTCAGGCAGAAGCAGTTTATTTCTGTAGCAGCAGGAGAGGATGCAGCATGACAGAGGTTCAGCCCTCTGTCTATACAAACTCTGACCGAAAACAAAAGTACCAGGGCTTATATACATTTACAGCACATAAAAACTGCTTTGAGAGGGGACCTGGTACGGTAGTACAGCATCTGCATAGGAGACTTTGTTACAGCCAAGGTAACATGTGTTCCTGATAACTCGGGATCTGCAGCCATGCACGAAATATGAAACAATTGCATATAAGAACTAGATGAGCTAAGCAAATTAGTAGTTTATTAGCCAGCATATATAACAGTGGGTAAGTGGTAGTATTGTGAAAGTATTTAAAGGTTATGTGGCCCATCACATAAAAAGTAGCCTAGCATGCTAAATCAAATTTGTTTTGAAATCTCTTCTACAGTTATATTCTTTTTCATAAAAAAGAGGTGATAATTAAACTCCAGCAACAGGTGATTGGAATTATGCCTGTCATGAAAAGTTAATGCATCACAGTACTAACTGTATAGAATTAAAAGGAACAAAGTTAGATAATTTTGTACTTTTAATTTCCTAAATGTACAAAACCTCATTTAAAACTCTCTTTCTACACATCTTTGCTTATTTATTCATTTAATTTGAAAGGTACATATAAGAAACAGATTTTCTCTATAAGTTTACATTAATAGAATGAGATGTATTAATAGATTAGAGTTATATGCTTCTGACAATGTTCCATTCACCTTACCCGTCTATATTGTCACACTGACTTCCATATTCTGATTAGCAGGATTTAATCATCTAGTAGTATAGAAAGCTGTCTAGGTGCACATATAAAGGAGGATGCTATACTGAAATAAATGAGTAAATACAAGAAGTGGACATACACCAATTTGTAAGAACGGTAAAACACTGACTTCTTGCAGCCTTCTCGGAATCCCAAATGCAGAACAAAAGCCATGTGATAGAACATGATATATATGGTCTATGTTAGATAGTGCTATAAATAATTATGATGAGGAAACTATGCTTGCACAGCAAGAGCAGATTGGTATAAATAATGGAGCAGTGCTATATTGATGGCAGAATACCGATTGATCTCTCATGAGGTGTTCTAACTTGTCTCACTACCTAACAGGTAGGATAATAAGGAATAAAGAGAATCAGCAGAAAAAGAAAACTAAAGAAAACACTGTCAGGGTAACCATGATGCAAAAACACTGGTATATATCGTTTGTGGAGTAGCCCTAGATTAGTTCATCAAAGTCCTAGATTAGTTCATTATTTACTGAATCACAGTCTTTAAGTAAATACAAGGGAAAAAACAATGAAAATTACATGAGCAAGAAACTCTTCCATAAAAATATGACAGGTCATTAACAAAAAAAGGGAACAGTTGATTTACTGAAACACTGATATTAAATATCTGGTTTTCATTAATCTACTGATTAGATATAAAACCTATCACAAAAATTGCTCTGATGGTAAATAGGTGAGGTGCATCAGCAGTCTATATCAAGCAATATTAAAAGTCCTTTCATTGTTATTTAGATATTTTTAGAAAGATATTTGATATCACCACAGATATATTAAAAAATTAATCTTTTGAAATTTGAAATTGTGAGGTCTCCAGAAATTGTTCCTTAAACTCCATATTTTGCCTTTTCTTTAATGGTTTTCAATCATTTGTAATAATCCTTTTTTCTTTAAAAATATTGTTTGTTAAATGTGGTTAATTACTTATGTATCATTATTTCATAGGAATGACATCTAACGTGACTACATGAATTTAATCTTTTGCGCTAGTGAACTTCAAAGTCTTTGTTTTTCTGGGCCTTTTTTTAGTTTCTAGCAAGATATTTCTTAAAGCACACTTCACTTAAACCTTACTTATTTTAATTTTTTATTTTTCATTCACATATAAGCATATTTTTTAAATACAAGAAGAAATATTGGGCAACTTACTATAAATACTGTAAATCAAGGCAGAAATAGGGAAAAAAAAAGATAATGTTTTTCCTCTTAGGTAATTCTTACTTTCTAAGATATATGTCTGAGATGTCTATAACTTAAAAATCTATCTACCTATCTCCTCCATCTTCAGTTTAATGGGAATTTGTTAAAAAAAAAAACCAAAAACAAAATCCATCAAGATTCTTTCGTGGCATTTTGCAAGTTGTAGAAATTACTACAAACCACTTTGTCTTCATATATATAAAACATTTTACAACATTCATTAGGTATTCATTTGATATACATAACTATCTTGAGAAAACATCTTCATCTTACTTGCATTTTTAATTCAAAATGTACAATGTACAGTAACAGTTTAATTTTCAGAATGTGAGTGCTTGTAGTCCTTGTATTTGTATAATACACAAACAGCAAAACCTACTTAAGAAGGCAAAGTATATTCTTTTTAAAAAAAAGAAAAAAATTCTAATGTGTTTATTACAGAATATTTCTCCCTGGTATGCCTTTTGAAAACATTTATATAAATATGTATGTTTTGTAAGTAGACATAGATGTATGTGTATATATACTCATGTATATAAGTAATGTGAATTGCTGAGGTGTTCTCTTGAAAGTTTGAGGCTGTAGGATGGTAAAATACCCCACCCTATCTGTTGTGCTTAAGCCATTCCTTAATCCAACATGCAAATTAATTCATGTCAGAGTTTCCTGCATTTAATGATAGATTGTCTTCATAATATATTTTTGTTATGACTTTTTTTTTTAAATAACGACTTGGTACATTTTCTTATTCCTATTTAGGTATTAGAATACAAGTAAAATAATCTATTGCTTACAAAATGTTAAGGACAGTTAGGAATGGCCACTGGATCCAGCTGTCCCAGCCCAGGACCCTCTTGCCCTGCTACTGGAGCCCAGCATGGTGCCCCCGGCGACCTGGGGTGTCTGCTCAGGTTGAGGGATGCATTTGCCATTTTCCCATTAGCAGGTTCAACCAGTAGCAAAATTAAGCTTGGGCTGGCACAGGCAGAAGGTCACAAGTACAGCACACACACCACACTCCCCAGGTTCACAAGCACACACACATTTGCAGATCCCCCAAACACCGGCACAACCCTTCTGCCTTCCTCACTCACACTGGTCCCCCCCATAGCTGGTTTTTGGGATGCAGCCCCAGTGGCTGGAGGTTAATGACCCACTGGTTCCAGTAGCTGATATCACAGACCAGGGACATCCACAGCTGTGGTCTGACTCCAAGGAGCAGCTGGTGCAAAGCAGGAACATAAACATGCTGTTATTACTCATGAAATAAGTAGATGTTCACAAAAGATGAACTGCGAAGTGAGAAATGGACTGTCCCTTTTGCAATCCTACTCTTTTTATTGATGTCGTATAGCTGTCCTCACCAGTCCTCTGTATGAGTTTCTTCTGTCTTCAGTGCTAGATTTTTTTTTAACCTATATGTTTTCCATGAGGACATTTGTTATATTAAATTAAAGAATCATGTAGTCATAGCCTTAAAATACCTCAGGAGGATGATAAACCAAAATAAATTATGCCTCTGACATTCCAAGCAGCTGTCTGCCTACCACTTTTATTCAGATATCTGCAGCTGTTCTCCGAAATCTTGC